GGGGGGGGGGGATTAGGTACTTCTTGACTCATCTTGTTTAATGTGACGTAGATCTACATGAATATATAGCATTAAATAATTCAGACAGAAACAAATACTTATTCTTTTTACTGTAAAATATGGTAAAATTTGGTGCTTCTTATAGAATTTTGAAGAAACACAAAGTTCACATGTCGTCAGCCTTGCAACCACTTGTCACTGACTTAAACCTCCAAAACTAAAATTTGCAAAGCATTCATTCCAAAAAAAATGAAAATGTAAAACTGCCATTTCAGAACCTTCTTTTGTTTCATATTTCGAAAAGGAATGAAATTATCTTTAGATGATTTTAGTAGAGTTATGGTACTCAAAGCATCAAACCTGGAATCATCTTTTTGAGAAAAAAGACTATGACTTACCAGGCCATGCAGATATTCCCATATGTTTCAAAACTGGTTGTGTGGGTACCGTACCATCTACCTCTAGAATTATCTCTTCCTCTGCAAGAGAAAGGTTGGACATCATTTGAGGTCCGCTGAGATTCTGAACTGCCTTTATCACCCTGCAGTAGGAAATGAGGAAACAACTGATAAGTAATCATTCATCTAAGCGCCAGATCTTAGTCTGGATATACCAAGACTTCATATCAAAGCAAGTCTATAAGTGCATCCAATTCGTAAAGTTCCTAAAACAAAATATTACCATGACGGTTCTGCTAAAATATGTCCAAGCCTGAGTTATCAACACAGGGGAGAGAGAGAGAGAGAGAGAGAGAGAGTCAACTAGAGACAGATCTATGATTTTTTCCTGCTGATGGAAAACTTAAATCATGTATTATTATAACATAAATTAGAACTGTTGTGAGATTCTCTATTTCTTGGTATACTCCTTGTACACCAAAATGGGCATGTTTTTTGCCTCTTTTTAAATGAAATTTATTACTTTTATCCACACAAAAAAAAAGAAACATAAATTAGAAGGCCAAAATTAGAAAAAATCACATCTGATGCTTTTGTTAACATATTTATAAGCTATCAGATAACTAAACAAAAGGAGCAATAATTTCCTCTCTATTTTATGCTACCGTAAAGAAAACAATTATAAAATTGGACCAAATTCAGAATAGAAAATTCAACAATACTTTGCTAGAGTGAGAAACTCCCCTTCTCCCTAATTGTTGTTGCTGGAAACAAGACATCTGAGATCACAGAATGCAAAATTTGAGACAGATTGCTGGTACAAGTGGGTCGAAAGAAAGATCAACTTTGTCAGTCGAATTCTAACAAACTCCTCACTGCTTATCCATGTTTGTCTAGTCCTACAGCAAACATCAAAATGAACAGGCAAACTTTGCAGGAGATGGAGAAGTGGGAGTAAGTGCATGAATATGTCTTCCAAAACACCAACGACTTAGGGAGATATGTGCAAATAGTTTCAACAAATGAAGCTAGGAGAAGCATGATAATAGTCCCGGAGCCGATTGAACAACAAATTTTTAAGAAATTCGAAATGACATACCCAAGATTTCTAGCTCATCTTTATGCAGTATCACTGCATATGAATTATTTTCATATTTAAATATATCTTTAAGCGGCTTTCCAAGTTATATCTAAATAATGCTTTCCCATCCTTCGAGCATCAGGTAAACTCCATCTTGTAATGAAAGTTCTAAGTCTTTAGTGAAAATTTTGTCCTTAGTTGAGGACTTGAAACCAACTAATCTCAAAAGATATGTGACCAGCTTGATTTCAATTTTTGTGAGAAAGTAAAGTACCCGAAGAACAAAAAGGTAAAGTGGGGTTCAACAACTAATGCTCAGTAATGGACCATACTTTTCAAGACTCCGAAGGTACTTGTCGTATATAAGGAAATGAAGCCGATGACCTGAAGAACTTGCTAGGACATCGAAAAGATTGTGAACTGTTATAATGTCTGCAACAATAGCACAAGCAGGAGCTATTCGTGAAAATGAATCTGCACCAGCCGTCTTTTTATCATCAACCTGGCAAGAGACGAGAAATAAGTGGATAAACAAATGGCAGCAGAAACTTCAAGAAAAAACATGATGCCATTCTGAGAAAATTATTAGCAGTTAATGCAACCCCAAGAAAGAACATATTTTTCTTTCTTTAGATATAAACGAATTTTTATTTCTAATGCCTTCAAACAGTATAGAACCTTCTATAGTGGAGGTATACAATTTTCTGTCACAGAAAAAAGTAGTAACCTACAAATGTCTACTCCAAAAATAGATACTAAATGAAGGAAAATGTTAATCCATTACAACCTGAACAGCCATATTTGTACAATCCGAATAAAACAATGACCAGCTATCTTCATCCTCTACTTCCCTCTCATCAGAAGCAGCAGTTTCCTGTGAAGACAAACCCATGACGGTATCGTCAGAAAATTAGACGTACAAATGGACAGCCAAACCTATAGCATAGCAACAGGAATTTAGAAATTGAGAAAAGAAAGCAATCTTGAAAAAGAGCTACTAAATGATATCTCATGTAGTTTAGTACTTGATTTCCAACACCAGGAGCCTCCCATGCTAGCATCATGTCGAACATCAAGCGACGGAAGTCCTTATCGCTCAGATAATCAGGCTGTGTGGTTGCCACTTGAAGAGCTTGGAAGGAGCAAAATTCCAGAAAGTTCCTTGCATATATCAGTAAAGGTTGTTTAACATCATCAGGAAGATCTGAATCAAACTGATGTTGCAGCTCTTCAATATGTAACTGCAAAATCCTGCAGTTGAGGCAGAGTAGACAATAAGTTAAGACATCTCATAAACAAATATCTTAGCTTACAGGAAAGTTTAAAACTCTAGTGGCACTGTGGCAAGATTTTCACCAAGTCTCCTATTTCGATTTCTACAGAAAAAAGTGAAAAGGGTAAAAATACTATCACAGATTTCTTTCTCGGAAAGGCTTTAAGGATGCTTTTCGAATGTGGTCTAGTATGTCTGTGGATTATGAACAGAATAAAAGAACGTGCAGTAACCAGAAATAATAATTGTCAGGAAAATTCTGAAGAATACTTTTTACTGGGAAATTGATAGAGTTAATCTATTGTCTGAGAAGCTGGGGATCGTGGTATCCAAGATGACAGGACCGATATTTTGCTATGGACAGCCAAGACAGATGAGAGGTTCCCTGTAAAATTTTGTCACTAGTTGCTGACAAATCTGAATTATATGAAAAATGCATAACGGCCTTGGAAAATGCTACAGAAAACAAGAACCCCACCAAAAGCGGCATTCTTTGGATGGACAGCATTATAAAATCCGTGCCTACGCAAGGTAATTTACAAAGAAGAGGTTCAGTTTATATAATAGGTGCACTTACATAGAATCTGTGGACCATCTTTTTCTACATTGCTATCTGACCTGGCATAATATGAGTATGTTTCTGAACTTGCTTGGGCGTGCAGTGTATTATGGTAGGAAGCTCAAAAGAAGCATTATGCAGCAGGGTCAGAGGATAACGAAGATACAGAGACCAGTTTGAAGAAAAATTTCATTTTGGATTTTCTTTTTTTCTTTTTATGAAATTCCCCTTTGCATTTTGTGGACAGTGAAATAGATAGGAACAGTAGAGGTTTTGATGGAATAGAGGATCATATATCCTGTATATAAATGTGTTCAAAATCTCTACTTGGTGCTAGTTGAATCCTGTTAACATGTTAGATGATATATTGAACATGATTGACTTATCTTGCAATTGTATGGACTCAGTCTAGACTCTGGTGCAATTATGCAAGCCTTAGCTTAGTGCTGGTATAGTAATAAAACTATTTATCAACATAATAATTATCAGAACAAAATCAAGAAGAATAGACACACATCTTGATTGAATTATGACGTCGCTTTGTACCAAATGATTTATCAGATAAAATCTTCTGACACCAATGGTTTAGTAGAAAATTTATTCTCCTAACTGATTAAAAAGAAAAAAAATTCTTAGACATCTCTGCCTTTATTAAAACTTAAAGTGACAGCCACAGATATAAGAAGAGTGCCACAGAAAACATGCACTAAGCATCCTTTCTCCCAACAAAAGTGAAAACAAAAGAGGAGCTAGAGCTTTTACGTTAGATGGACCAGTTTTACCTTCATCATGATTGAACAATTCTGTTGAAATTAGTTAACATGAATTCCATATCTTTTAACCAAAGCCCTTTTAAGAAAAGGAAGCCACGCTACAGCTTAAATTCTCTATTCTTTGTGTGCTTGACTCTTTTATATTAAAACCTAAGCTCCAAGAAAAGGAAAAAGATGGACTTTGTTTTTCTTTTAATGAAGTAAGATTCCTATTTCCTAGCGGAATCTCTCTCCCCACCGCTTGGCTGTTAGAAAAAAATTTCATTCCAGTTTAGAGTTGAATGTTGATGTTAAAGATCTACTGTCACCCAACTTCTTGGCAGAAATGACATGTATATTCACGATAAGATAAATGACATTTGTATATTCACGAAAGGATAAAATGGTAAATGTCTAAAACAATACTAATTTAAATTGTAAGATTTATTAAAAGAACTTCCTACCAAAGAAGAAAGTATATTACCACATCAATTCCCGAGATAAAGAAATAGATAAAAGTATTGATGCATAACATTTTACTCGGCTCTCCAGTAGAGTTGATACTATTCAAGGACATCAGGACCCTAGAAAGTTACATAGAGGACATGAAACCAAGAACAATCACTAAATTCTGGGCAATCAAGAGAGAAGTGCAAGAGCCCCATTGTTCTTTAGCATCATATAGACTAAGGATGATTTCAAATTTAAATACCAGTGAAATCATGTTACAAACAAACATCATTAGTGATTGATGTCCTTGTAATATGGTTGATCATTTCAACCAAAAAGCACAACTAGCTTAATCAAGAAGCAGAGAATTTTTGTACATCATTTAGATGTTAGAAATGGGAAAAAAAAGACTACACCTCAATTCAAGCTACTTGGTTTTGGGGACAGCTTATGAATTCCCACAATCCATTTTCCTATTGGATCCATTTCATACATTTACTCAGTAATTTTGTGATCTCTAACACTAGAGTTCTCCATAAGTGTGCATGCGCTTCAAGAGATTTTAGGTCCTTCAAGATAACTTTCTTTCATGTGATTTTACGTCTACCTTACCAGTCAAAAAAAAAATCAGATCTAGCTCGTCTCATTTAACATGTTCAATAAACGTAAGACATGATGAAACTATCTCAAGTATCTTCTTTCATTTGTCCTCAATGTGTGCTACTCACACCTTTTGTAAAATGTGATCAGTTCTAATGTGTAGAAGCTCAATAAACACTCCCGTATAATATGGTTACTCGGACAATTATTCTATATGACTTGCCTTTCACTTTGGTGGCTATCATGGTATCAGTTCTATATGCTTTCTTTCATCAACAACGACTTCTACCAATACATGATGGCTGTAGAAAGACTAAGGTATAACAGGAACACTTGCCTAATGCCTGTACAACAAGCAGACGCAAATTTCAAGGTCCTGCTTTCTCACCGCCTTCATTGATGCACAAGGTAGTACCCAAAATACTAATGCAACTTCTTATGACATTTTGGAGTTGCCAAAATGTTTCATCCCTCCCTCCCTCCTCTCTCTCTCTCACAGTGTTGTCAAAAGCGAAAAGCTCTAAAAAGCGCTCTAGGTTTATTTGGGCTTTTAGCGCAAAGCACATTTAAAGTATGGGCTTTAGTTAAAAAAGGCGCAAGGAAAAAAATAAAAATTTATATGTAATTCAAGAACAAAGTAACAAATTCATTCATAATGTTTCCCTTAGAAGCTCATACACTTATTTCCAATTATATTTGTTGTTTAGTGCCGCTTGATTCAAGAGAGAACTCATGGGCAATGAGGCACAAACCTTAGTGCCTTGTCTTACACTAAAGCGCAACTTAAGCAACATGAAGCGCCCTCCTTGAGCTTTTCTAAGTTTCAGGGCTTAAGCGGCCTTAAATGAGACTTCGACTACACTGCTCTCTCTCTCTCTCTCCTGCTGATGCCCATGATACAAATGTAAAATGAGCAGGGGCGGATCTATGGAGAGGATGGGGGTGCCATCCGGTCAATTGGGTAGACTTTGACGTATGTACTAGAATTTCACGCAAAGAGATTGTCCATATTTGAAGAGTGGCAACCGAAGTCACAAAGTGACCCAAGGTGCCTTGGTCAAGGTACCACTTTTCCTGGTGCAATGCCCAAGATAGACACTTGTTTTACTCATTAGCAAGCTAATATTACTTTTACTCTTGACCTTGCTTATTCCTTTCTTCATTTTCTTTTCTTCTCTTTCTTTGTACAATACCATTTTTATTATTTATTTAAATTATAAAATCATATTTGCTTCTATATTCTTTTTCTAGATCTCGAATTTTTGTTTGAATTTGATTTAACCCTTTTGTTTCTTTTATCTATTTAATGTCAACTTTTCCTTGATGTCAAATAAAGGATCCAACATTTTCAGTTTACTTATCACCTATTTATTTATGCACCAAATATCTTGTAAATTGTTCGAATTAATTCAAAATGAATCGAACTAATTCTAAACAAAGCAAACCAACCAAATTTACCCCCTAATTCTAGGGTTGTGCATAATTTGGTAAATACCGAATTACCGTACCGAAACCGAAAATTTTGGTATTTGGTATTCGGTATGGTATTTGATTTAAGTTTTAAAAAATATTGGTATTAGGTATGGTATTTGGTATTTTAAAATGAAATACCGAAATACCGATACCGTACCGAAATATATATTATATTACACAATACACATATTATTAATTATAACATAAATATAAAATATAAAATTTTACTTTCCTTTATTCTCTAAGTTTATCAATTAACTCTAAGTAAGTAACAAAACATTTCTAATGATCAAATTTATTCTTTTATGTACAGTTTTCTCTCTCTAAGTTGACATTTGCTAGTTTTGGACAAAACTTTTGTCAACAAATGTGTTTCGCTTTGTACTTTTGAGTACTTTAATTCATAATATTACATTCTATGACTCTATTCACTAGTTAGTATTCAAACCGAATAAACCGAAGTTACCAAACCGAATAAACCGAAACCGAAAGGAGAAAAACCGAACCATACCGAATTTAATTAGATACGGTATTGGTATTGCATTTTAAGAAACCTAATACCGAAAATACCGAACCGAAATGTCTAAATAGACGGACGAACACCCTACCTAATTCAATCTCCTTGACGAGTGGTAAGTTTAGTGTCACCGGCAACCATCAAATCATGGATGCACCTCTGAAAATAAGCACATTCGCATTGTAATAGCATGCGAACATAAATATTAAGTAGATTATTGAAACCATCTACCCCAACAGGATTTGTTTAAACTTCAGCATGGGCACACTGGTAATAGCAGCCTCGTGCCTTATGTTCAATCGCATTTCAGAGACAATAAGCTACTAATACATTTGTATGCTTCTACATGGAAAGAAAAGGAGTTTACTTGCAACAACGAGAGACAACAGAGTTTGCGAGTGGAGAGAGAAAAGTTAAAGGCTGATAAGGCGGAGTGGTGGCTACATCATCAACACCTTCATTGTCACCGTTACGCATTTTGCCGCTGAAAAAGAATATGGATTTCAACGCTAACATACTCTTAATCTCGTTTCCATTGCTCTTCTGCTTTTTACTTTTCCCCAATCCCAGTGCATTCTCATTCTCCATCTTCCTGTTTGCCTTCACTTCTCTCCTTTTTCCTACTACAGGCTTCAGATCGATCGCCGGGCGGTTGCCGCCGGCGGATAGATATGGTTCTAATTGGTAACGGATTTTATTATAGGGATTAGGGAATAGGAAAGGCAAGGACGCGCCAATCGCGAAATCAGAACTTGTCCTGTCACGAGCTTTGGCTTAGCTAGAAAATTGGTTGGCCTAGCCATTGTTTTGGGTCGACTATTAGGTCAGCTTTTAAATTATATTACTCCCTCTGTCCACAATGAGCTATTGTCAATTTACTAAGTTATCAATTTACTTTTTTATTTTAGTCCAAAATAAGTATTCACCTATATAATTAAAAAAAAATTAATTTATTTTTTCAAAATTATCCTTATGTACGTATTCCTAAAAAATTTTTTACTCCTCACATTAAATTATGCTACAATATTTAATTAAGGGTAATTTAGTTACACTAACTATTTTTATTTAGAATTTAGTATTTCCTTATTGGGTGTGTCCAAAGCAAATTGGTCACTTATTATGGACTGGAGGAAGTAGTGAAGTAGCTACTAGTCCGTTTAAACGAGAGTAATTTGATGTTTTTGCCTCCGAACTAAAAATGTAAATCTCACTTTATACTCATTAAGTCCAAACTATTTACCCTTTAATACTCAAACCTAGACTATTTACTTTTCCAACATATGCGGCTTAGATTATTTACCCCGCCCATGCATTAGCTATTTGCTTCTCAAAGTCCTAAAAATCCAGTTGATTCGTCTGCAATGGCGATGTTTGTGTTCTGCAGGATTACAAGAAGGTCATCAAGAAGAAGAATAAGCAGAAGCTAAACTTGAGGATTCCTTTTTCTCAACTTTCTCCCTGTAAGTCTTGAAAAAGAATTAATNCCTTGTTAAGCCCAAACTATTTACCCTTTAATGTCCAAGCCTAGACTATTTACTTTTCCTACATATGCGGCTCAGATTATTTACCCCGCCCACCCATTAGCTATTTGCTTCTCAGAGTCCTAAAAATCCAGCCGATTCATCTGCAATGGCGATGTTTGTGTTCTGCAGGATTACAAGAAGGTCATCAAGAAGAAGAATAAGAAGAAGCTAAATTTGAGGATTCCTTTTTCTCAACTTTCTCCTTGTAAGTCTTGAAAAAGAATTAATCTTTAAATTACTTCACATCAAGATAGATCATTTATTTATATATATGTGAATAATGGTTAAGAAACCCCACCCCCCCTTGTTCTTGTTCAACAAGATTTCTGAGTTGAAGGATGGCTTAGCACAACAGTACAAGGATTCTAAATTTCTGATTACTCAATATTTTTGTGTAGAGAACTTCTAGTACTTTTTATTTTTATTTTGTATAATATTGGCCTCAGATAAGCTTAAATGAAGCAAAAGGGGCATGGTTCATATAACCGACCCCAACTTGTTTAATTGTTGCTGCCGGCCTTTCTGCACTTCCAATTGGTCAAACTGATACGTAGTTATAGATATTCTTCCTTTCATATGTCCTCTCTCCAATTATTGTATTTGACATTTTTTGTCTTCGATCACCCAATGGTTTGTAATTTTCTTTGGTGAAAAGTTTCTGACATTGATTAAAGTGGGTGTTATTAAAAATTGCTTATAGTACCTTCTGGAGTTCTTATTAAATTTTAATCGCATTTGGAGCTGATTTGAGGTGATTTGATATCGAATTTTTCAGCTGAAAATTGAAAAAGAACACAATTACCCAACCGCTACGGTATACAATATATTGTAGGAGTATATGGCTATACTGTAACAATATACTATTATAGTATAGAATATACTGCAACGGTATACTGTAATTATCGAAGAAGAACACATTACCTAATAGTATACTACAATGCTATACAAAAAACTATAATGGTATATTATAATAATGTGCAATATACTGCAACAACATGCTGTAATTGTATACGATATACCATAATAGTGTACTTCGACTACTATTTGTTGAATCATTTATGCGCAATTGTGCAAATCTAAAGTCATGGTTATAGTAACATTATACTGTTATAGTATACAATATAATATAACAGTATGACGTGATAAATAAGTCTTTTTTAAATTTTTTCCATCTAAGTCCTTGCAATTGTTTTCTTAAATGAATTTTTTGATATTCATTGTATAAGACGTAGGTGTTGGAAAATATAAAATAGTAATATACCTATTTGATATATTTAAATGCACTTTTGGTATTCTATTATGACGAGTAATTTATAATAACATTAAACACTAATATGCCATTTGATTATATTAATATGCTATATTATTATAATAATATATAATTTTGGATCCTATATACTAGAAATATTTACAATAATACATATATTTTTATTTTTAAAAATGCAATGAAAAAAAAAGAGAAGAGAAAACGGATATAATGTAAGTTGTTCTAATAATTAACTTAAAAAAGAAAAAAAAAAGAGGAAAAAAAGAAGACAAATAGTATATTATACTATCAGCGATATTAAAGAAAATGAATAAATATTTACTATATTAGTTATCTTTTATTATTGTATAAAAAAGAATAAAGAAAAGGAGCAAAAAAAGTGAATATAATTAGTTATAAAAAAAAAGTAAAAGAAAAAAATAGCTAAATTAATTTAGAAAATAAAGAAGAAATAAAGAAAATGAATAAAAGGAAAGAAAAAAGAGAAAAAATAAAATAAAAGAATGGAGCCAAAATTGAATATGGAATCAGATTATTTAAATATAATAAAATAAAGAATAATATGATTTTGAAAAAGAATGGAAAAAGAGAAGAAAAAAAAAAGAAAAAATAAAGAAAAAGGGGAAAAAGAAAAGGATAAAAAATAGCCAATTACCCACAAAACCTACAATGGGTAGGAACAGTAATTAGTTTAATGGGTAAAAAAATAAATGAGTAGATAAGGATAATTAATTTGGTTTTTATGGGTAAAGCTATAAAACTTCCAAAATTTGATGTTCCTATTTATAATCTTCAAGGTGATAATGCCAAAAAAATAGTTTTTCCCATTGTTTAGTCATTTATGACTTCTTAGGATTTGTTACATTGTTCTTTCTAGGATAAATTTCATAACCTATAGAGTTGCAAAATAGAACAATACTCCCTCCGTCTCAAATTATTTGTCGTATTTTTCTTTTATACGACCCTTAAGAAATATTAATTAGGAGGAATTTTTGATAATTTTATTCCTATTTATGTCTTAAGATATAATCTATCTTCATTGAATATTTATTCTATTTACGTGTTATCTTCAAGAACAATTACTACTAGGAGTAAAATAAGAAAAAAATTAATTAGTTTTGTTTTGAACTTCTAAAATGACAAATAATTTGAGACAACTATTTTTAAAGATCATGACAGATAATTTGAGATGGAAGGAATAACATGTTGTTAAAGTTGTAAGGTACTAGTTTAGTAATTAAATACTCATCGTCCGCTTGTTGGGGTGGAAGGATAAATCGTAGGGGAGGGACACCTGAATATGGCTATGTAGTTTTAAAAGTGAGAGCAGTTCATTATTAGTACATGTTAATTAGTTGCAGAGTTCTCTATTGGTTTCTTTTTTTGGCAAAATACATAAGTAGCCATCTGAACTATACACCAAATCCATGTTACACACTTTTTGAGGACGAATATCAATTTACACACGCAACCTTTCAAAATTGTGTCTACTACACACTACTTTTGCCAGATGGCACGCGTGTGTTTAACAAAAGACACTGAGCGCATAAAACCTATGCATTATTTGTCCAAATCCTTATATACGCACACGTGTCCAAATCTTATTTGTTCTCCTTATTTTTCTTAAATTATTAGTTAAAAGAAAAGATAAAGATGTTCAGGTTTTCTTCCCCATTTGGAACCCCCTACCGTCTTGGGCATCCGGCGACAACCACAACACCATTTGCTCTCCCACGCCTCCCATCTCCTACCCCTTTCATCTCCTTTAAGTAGATCTCGATCATAACTCATAATGTCGGCAGCGACCTCAAGCAACGCCGAGCCCTCTGTTGCCAGGTTGTTACTTTCACTGTCAGTTCATGGCCGACGAGGTCAGATTTTCTCCGACGGGGTAAAGCTCTCAGATCTTTCCGACAAATTGGTGGTTCTTCGTTCAGATCTGGTCTCGTTTTGTTAAAACTGCAAACGATGGCGACCTCTATTTTCCGGCCACTGTTACAATGGCAATACTCATCGGTAAAAATGATATTTCTATAGCAAACAAAACCTAGAAACCAAAAAATGGTAATAAATTTTTAGAGTAAGGAGAAATAGTGGTAAATAAGAACAAAGATGATGAAGAAAGTGGGTCTTCATATAAAGAGAAGAATTGAAGTATGGTGTGGTACCTCTGGTTCTTTCTGGAAGAGAAAGAGACTATGAAAGAGAAACTGGTCAACAGAAATTTAAGCCTTTTTTATTTAAAAAAATTATTAATACGTGGCATGATGTTATTGGTGCGTGACACTACACATATTCTGAGAAATTGGTTAAGAATCTAGTAGTGTGTACTAGACACAATTTTGAAAGGTTTCGTGTGTAATATGATATTCGTCCTCAGAAAGTGTGTAACAAGGATTTGGTGTAAAGTTCAGGTGGCTACTTATGTATTTTGCCCTTTGTATTTTGGAAAGCTTGGGTTTAAACGGCAAGAATGATAGTTGGGGATGATGATGTAACAAATCCTATAAATAGTAAAAAAAATATTTTTTTTGTTGGATGTGCAAATAAAGTCTTACATTGGTAGTTGAAAAACTTAGGAGCCTACATATAAGGTATACGGATCTCTTAAAGGAGTGAGGCCTTTTAGAAGAAAAAAAAGAACGGGCTTGACCCGAAGCGAATAATATCACACCATATTAAAAGTATATATGGACTGATTTAATCCAACAATTAGTATCAGAGTTAAAGTTTGTCGCGACGAGTATGGCAGTGATATAGTCATGGGGTGGGGATCGACTTGCTTACCCTTATGAGCTTGGGCATGCGTATATAAGAAGAAACTAGTTGCGAGCTTCGGTTGCTATAAATGCTCTAACAATGTGGGTCGCACATAGTGGATCTTAAAAATTGCCCGTGGATTGTGATAGTGAGCCACGTGAAACTTAATTTAAGGGAAAGGTTATTGGGTTCGGGAACAAAGTTCCATATCGGCAGCTGAAAAGATTGGGAGTCTACACAAGTTGTAGGCATATC